GTGGGTGGGATTCACTCCAAACCTTCGCCGCCCTCCCCGTCATCACCCCCACCCCCGCCCCCGCCCCCTCCCGCTCCCACTCCAACCCCCGCCGCACCACCCCCCCAAACTCGGCCAGCACGTCCTCCGCCACGGCGGCGTGCCGCGCGTTGACGAGCGTGACATAGCAGCCGCTTTTGAGGTGGATGGTGAGGTGGTGGTGGGGGGTGCGGGTGGTGCGGGTGGTGGTGGTGGTGGTGGCGAGCCAGAGGTGCCAGGCGCGGTGGAGGAAGGTGGAGAGGGGGGAGAGGGGGGAGGAGTGGTGGTGGTTGGGGTTCAGTGTGGGGTTGGGGGTGGTGAGGGATGGGGTGTTGAGTGGATGGGAGGTTGGGAGTTGTTGGGGGGGAAGCGGGGGTGGAGAGCCGGTGAAGGGAGGCGTCGATGTGCGTGAGGGGGTGGGTGGGATTGGAGTTTGATGAGAGTGTATTGGTGCAGGTGGCGGGCGAAGATGGCGAGCAGGTCGGTCCAGCCTGTGGCGAGCACCAGATGGGGCACGGCGAGGCAGCAGTCCCAGAGGGCTTCCATGTCGATGCCGTTCTCGATGGCGGACTCGATCCCGAGGAATGCGCGCCGGAGCATGTCGCCGCCCTGCTGGGGCTGACCGGCTTGGAAACAGTCATACGCTGCGCGGACGTGCTGGAGGATGGAGTAGCCCCGGGGTTGAAAGAGCTCGCAAAAGGTTGGTGGCTGGTCCGAGTCGGCCCTCCAAGGGGTTTCCCGTTCAGACCAGTGGTCTATCGGGGGGGCATATGCGCTGAGAGTTGTTTCCACCCGACACTCCTCGTCAGTCAAATACTGGAGGTGAGCGTGTTGGGGTTGTGTTGGCGTCAGTTCCCACATCCCGTCCTCTTGGGATGAAGGTTGTGGAGCTGCTATAGCCTTCTTTTTGGCTGCTCTTGACCTTGCCGGTTTGATTGACCCGGGCTTGCCCGATTTGTTGTATTTTGTCCACCTCCATTTTGCGAATTGGCCTTTGTACATCCTTGCCCTAGGTGTTCTGTTAGGGGCCATCGGTTCTCCTAGAACCGAGCAGGGGTACTTACGTAGCTTTAAACTTGTACTTGAGGATCATGATGTCGATGACTTCGTTGAGAATCATATTCTGATCCATGTAGAGCTCCCGTATGATTTGCTTTTTGGCTTCCCAGTCGCTCGCGCTTGTTGGGACGATTGGACGTTCTGGCAGGCGTTCGACAACAGAAACAGCGTCTTGATAGCCCTCGGGGTAACATTGTGATGGGTCCGTCATTCCTGAAACCTGAGGTCTCAGTGACCGGGCGAGGTGGTTGAACATTGAGAAGCCGGGGGTGGGGGGGACCCCAGATTGGAGGACAACTTCGTGGCGAGCGCCTAATGGAGATACTGTGCGGCGTTTTATGCAGGAGTATGAGAGCGTAATTAGTATCGAGGCTTGGGCCAGCGTGATGACAGTGGAGAGTAGGTGTGGCGGCTTTTTAAGAGCCCCGAGCAGATGAAAGGTCTAGCCATAAGTGACATAATGGCGATCCAAGCCCAACCAAATATGCCGCAGATCTGACGGGGAAAAGAAGGGAATCGAAGACTCATGGAAGGCGTACTCGCTCTGGTGTACAGGGGGAACAGGGTCGAGTGGCATGATGAAAGATGCCCCTGGCGCCAGAATGTATAACCTCGGCCGACATGTGTTGGGTGGTTGTGTCCTCGTTCAACCTCAGGAACAGGATCTTCGCCCACGTCTGCCCCTTCAATCACTTAGCCTGTGACCCCTGGTTGTAGCTTGGTACTGAACTTGCATCGTGGTCGTGTTACCCATGTGGAAACCCACATGGCACACGCCTGCCCACCCACCTGCGTATGCGGTTCCCCTGAAGCTTCGTTTCCGTCTAGCCGTTCCCCCAAGTAAGTAGGCTTGCACGGCGGCGGTCACTCACGTGTGGCGGCTCCATCATGCAAGGAACGGCCGACTTGGACGTTGGTTACACTAATGACATGTGAACACGGAACGCGTTTGTTGCGGTGGTGTCCCTGTCTTGTCTGAAACACGTCCGCCTTGCCACTATCACCATTCGAATTTCGACTTGGGAGTACCCTCGGTAGGATATTCCATGTCCTCTGGAGCCAAATCGAGAGTGAAGCTTGATCTTGTACAACCTCGGCGCGACAGACACATCGGATGCTTGGTGTGTGGTTCATGTAAGCCCATCACAAAGGGCGCCATCGTTTATACAGTTACTTCTTCCCACTCTGTATCACCACTACCCTGCCAATGCGTCATTTCAAGGTTCAAGTGCACAAAAGTAAGGTAGGTAACCAAGGTTGTCCATGCATGCCATTTTCGAGAAGAGGTCGCGCTGTGGATGGATGGAGCAGCCAAGAGACAATCCTGGAGGCCAACCCATCCGTCGGATGTGATAAGCTCAACCACTAGGTCTCATAATTTGCTTTCGGCGACGCAATAAGCCCAAAGCGGGTTGAGGTTTCATGTACATGCCGTGTAACATTCATTGCCTGCAAAGTTTCCGGCAGACGGGGTTGTGTCAGCGCTCCATCTTTAATAGCTTCAAGTGCGCTAGCCACAACGGATCCATGTCAGGGTCACTGTGTGACTCTAAACCCAGAAGCATGGCAGGCGGCTCCTCCGTTGCCCTCTTCCGCCGGCCAGCCATCTTCGGCCGAGAGCTGGATGCAGCGGTTTGCCGCTCCTAAACGCCAGCAGACGGCCGGGACGGTGAGAGCCATGCGTCAAGTTGCATGGTATAGGCGATTATCTAACCCCCCTAAACTCCGAGAGAACCCTGACCGCGAGGATTCTCCGTTGGCAAGACGAGTGTGGGCCCCGAAATCCCGTACTACCTAGCTCGAAACGAAAGAGAATGGAGGCCAGGGACGGCTGGGACCCAACTGAAGAGCAGTCCGGTCTCTGTTATTTCCCCGGTGCTCTCATTGCTTTTCCCATTGTCGGCAAGACGCATGTCCCAACACTCTGTATTGTTTTGCCTGTTGCCCCAAGAGGTAGTAGTGAGTCCGTGTTCCATCACTTCCATGGGAGGGGAAGCAGGGCCGCATCGATGATTCCACTCCGCTATCTTTCAGGCTATCCTTCGAGGCTATCGGAACGGCGGAGGGTCGTAGAATTTGTCAGGGCTTGATGCAAGGGTGGTTCGACACATGGTCGTCAGGTCGGTGACGCCGTCGGGGCGTGGCACGTCGGAAGCGAACCTCATCTCAAACTCAACTGGCATTGAACCGATGCCAGTCCGCCAACGATTCGGCGACCAGTTGCACATTCCATGTTTGGCGACAAGTCTCTTGGTCAAATTCCAAGCTGGAGGTATGAATCCGATGATTGTTGTTCAAGAGAAAGTCTGCAACTGAGCAAGTTCCGAGGTTGTCTGGATGCGAACGCGTCTTTCACGCTTTCATGCCCTCGCGCTAAACTGTTCTTGACGATTCGGAGCCAGATTTCGGTCCGATATCTGCACCCCGAACTGTTGCCCGCCAGTCGCCGTCGCACAACAATGGCAGGGTCCAGACCCTCGTAGTCGGGTAGGTTAGCTTGCACAACCCCCCTCTACCTCTGTCTCGGCCGGAAGACCATCCTGGTCCTGGACTGGTGGGCATGAGATCCATGTGTCCCAGGCACCCGGGTAACTTGTGTTGCACGTGCAGTGTGGTCCATGGGGGATCGGGCGAGAAGCAGACGATGCAGATCCGCATCGCCGCATCGCCGCATGTGGTCGGTCAAGCTGCCGAGGTGGAGACGTTTGGGGTTCGATGGCTTCCTTGCTCATATCAGACTAGCTTCCCTGATGAAAGATGCGGGAGATGTTACCCTCCAATGCGCGGCAACCTGGATTGTCCAATGACGGCAGACCGGATGACAAGAACAGGGGGGAATGTGCAGCATGAGTTACCTCCGTCTGTCGACAGTATTAATCTTTCTTTTCAGCCTTTACTGCCGACAGGTGGACTCGCCCCTCGATAGATCCAGTACGACGGTGCCTCTCCACAACAATCCGGGGTCGAACTGGGATGACAGCTCGACCGTTGGAGTGTTGGAGCATTAGCATTGGAGCCTTGGTCTTCCCCGCTTTCTTTCTTGTCTTCTTGGCGATTAATCCGGCACACTCTTCTCCAACAGCCCAGAGTCCGAAGTGATCCTTGTTCTCCATCGATAGTGTTTGTTTCCCTGCCCCCTTCTCCGCATGGGCAGGGTATCCGCCAATAGCTCGTGACACCCCAGCTTGGTCGGCATTTGCTTGCTTCCCCAGATTGGAGAATGGAGTTCGGCGTGGGAGCAGGCATGGGGATGGGTCTAGCCCAGATTAATTGCCAGGAAAAAAGGCCAGATGGGAATATATGAACGACGTTGTAGTATATCAACCAGTGGCCTTCCTCTTTTTGTTTTCAATCCTTGCCGTCCTGCATTGTCTGAGGCTCTGACCTGTATTCCCCGAGGATCGCAACCCAAACACCATCAGACCATCTCGCCCTCAAATTTTACGGGATGGCGCCTAAGCGGGACGAGACGTGGAAAGACCACTGGAAGTGCTTCCTCGCCTGTGGCATCATTGTGCTTTCGCCGTTCCAATATGGCGTCGACTTTGGCCTCATTGGCGGCTTGCAGGCCATGCGTGGTTTCCTGGAGGTGCGTGACGGACTTCCTCGTTCTCCCAGAGGTGGAAAGGCGCATGGATGTTGACACTGCTTCTCCCTACAGATCTACGGCCACGAAGCACCTGGCACACCGCTCGGATGGAACCTTGACACGGTCCGACAACAGCTCATCTCCTCCCTCATGACCCTCGGCGCCTTCATCAGCTCTGGGACAGCTGGCCTCGTGGCAACATATGTTAGCCGGCGACAGTGCCTCTGGATTGCCTGCCTTGGCTGCTGCGTGGCAAACATCCTGATGATGGCCACCGAACACATTGGCGCGCTCTACGCTGGAAGATTCCTCATCGGGTTGGCGAACGGCTACTTCATGACATTTTCGCAGCTGTACATCCAGGAGAGCAGCCCGGCACGGTATCGCGGATGGTTTCTCACCGCCTTCCAGTTTTTCACATCTTTTGTGAGTTGTCTTTGTGCTGGGGACTTATGTTGTCAGGGATTCTAGAATCAGGGGTAACTAACCCACCAATCCCTCCAGGGCACCCTCATTGGTACCATCATCGACTGGGCCACCGCTGGCCGGCCCGACAAGTCCGCCTACCTTATCCCGCTCGGCATGATCTACATCGTCCCCGCCATCATGGCCGTCGCCCTCTTCTTCATCCCCGAATCGCCCCGCTGGCTGATCCTTACGGGCCGATATGAGGAGGGCGTCAAGTCGCTGCGCTGGCTGCGCCCCGTGGACGCCGACCCCGACGCCGAGGCCACCGAGATCAAGGCGGCCATCGACAGGGAGATGGAGCTTGCCGGCAGTGTTTCCGTCATGGACATGTTCACCAACCCCATCGACAGGCGGCGGACTGCCCTCGCCGTGTGCGCCGTCACCCTACAAGCTGCGTCCGGGTCCATGTTTATCATTGGTATGTCTTTTCCGCTATCACCTTGCCACGCCCACCCCGAGCTGACTCCCATCCCCCCAAACAGCTTACAAGGCCTACTTCCTCGGCATGTCCAAGGTGGCCAACCCCTTCGGCATGAGCAACATCCTCAGCGCGATGGGCATCCTGGCCATCCTGTTCAACTCGCTCATCGTGGTCCGCTACGGCCGCCGCCGCGTCATCATCATGACGGGCCTCGCCCTCTGCGGCCTCTTCCAGCTAATTATCGCCGTCGTCTACAAGACCCACCCGGGCACCACCTCGACGGGCCAGGTCCTCGTCGGCTTCACCTGCATCTACATGATGAGCTACAACGGCATGATCGCCACCTACGCCTGGCTCGTCGGCGGCGAGATCCCCTCCCAGCGCCTGCGCAGCTACACCTTCGGCCTGGCCGCGGCCGTCGGCTTCTTCTTTGCGTGGTTGACCACCTTCACGGCGCCCTACTTCATCAATCCGGAGTCGCTCAACTGGGGCCCGCAGTACGGCTTCATCTGGTTCCCGTCGTGCGTCATTGCCGCCGCCTGGGTCTGGCTGTTCTTGCCCGAGACCAAGGGGCGCACGCTCGAGGAGATTGACGAGATGTTTGAGGCGAGGTTGCCCGCCCGCAAGTTTAGGAAGCATGTTTGTGTGGGGCATACTGCTGCTGCGGCTACGCAGGCGAAGGATGGGGAGAGGCCGGCTTCGTCCGAGAATGAGAAGGTATGTACTTGAACTGCTGTGGGGGATGGCTGTTGGGGGATCGCGCTAACGGTTGACGCGTTCTGCAGGCGATGAGTGATATCAAGGTTGAACATGCCGAGGAGAAGGCTTGATGTGCCCGTCTGGAGGGGGGACCCCGACAGTCTGGCGTTTGGTATTGGCAGAAATGGTTTTGGTGATATTAACGGGAGGAAATTGGATTGTTTGATACTGATGGCAGCTGCAAATAACTAGTCCTATCATGGTGGTTATAGAGAACAGGACATGCTGCTGCCTACAACGGACCAGCAATAGAAATCCATCTCGTCAGCCTTTGAAGCATCGGAACAAGAGCCCCATGATTGTTGTCTGTGTGCCAGCTCAACGGGGGTAATGCTATCATTCTGTGATCTATCACCACGCCACATGTGATGATGCCTGCCAGGGACTTTTGAAAGTTTCCCAATGTCCACTCTCCTCTCGCCTTTTCCCTCTTCTTTTCTGCTCCCATTCCCCCTCTTCTCTTTCCTCGCCTTTTTTCGACAACCACTTCCTCATAGTGGGCGAGCAGATCCCCATCGCCGCCACCAACTCTCCAGGCGAGGAGTGGGGGCCCTAGAAGCACCTATTTAGCTACTCGCCGAGACGGCCAACATGTGCGGCTGCTCGCGGTGGGTCGGCCGGGATGAAAGAAGCAACCACCTCACTTAGCACCTCCGAATAGCTTACCAGGGCCTCGACGAGTGTAGATTCCCAGTCTCCCGCCAGGGACTAATCACGTACGGGGTGTCTCCGGGACCTCGGCTCCGTTCTGCTCAACGCCTTCATTCCAAAACCATACTGAGTGGCTCCGCAAGTTGGCTCGTTCACTTGTCCCCTCCCTTTCCTTCCTAATAGGACTCTATAGCCCAAGGTTTTGATACGTCAGATATAGAAGACGAGTATGATGCTGTTGCTGATACGATGGACGATGGTAGCGACGCCCTTGATAATACTTAGGTGATTTTATTCACAGATGTTACTACTACATGTATCTGATGTGTGCCCTGGCTTCTACATGCCTCACCAGGCGTGAACCGCAGTTCGTTGTCTTCGACTGGGTTTCGCGCTTTCTACCAGGTACCGTTAGCACAATTCTCTATTCACGGAATTCCTGACTGCCAAAACAATCGGCACTCCCACCTTGATATTTCCAGGCCTGCGGCTCGTATGGCAATGAAATGAAGTTGAGGCGGCTGGCGGGCACTCTGTAGTATCTTGTGCTACCCGATAGGCTGCATGGTTGATTAATTGCCTGGCTCAACGCGGTACCGTCTAAATTATTACGAGATAAGAGGCCAGGTACCAAGACGGAGTTCCTCGTTCGATGTCACCTCGACCCCGCGGCATCCCTAGAGCATACAAAGTAACGAGTTGACACTGGAACCCTCACGCGACACTGCCCAGCTTTTGGATCTAGTCCCAGACAGCCACCGTGATTCCGCCACCCAACTACTGCCTTTGAATTTAATCTCCCACGAGAGGATAAGTACCTCATGTTAAAGACCCTGAGACAGAAGTTCCGGAGCGGGGAGCAAAGATGAAGTCCGCCCGCGATTATCAGCTAGCTGAACCAGTCGTCACTTGTGTATCGCCGCCCGTCCAAACGCCGGAGGAAACACGGCAGGGAGATGACAGCCCCAAGAAAAAGGCCAGGATAAAGGAGATTTGGCCGTTGGTGCTCTTGTGGACCTTCATGGCCATATTCGCCATCCTGTACGCCGTCTACATCTACAAGACGCTGCTCAGCAGCAATCCACGCATTGGCAGCCTTCTACCGTCCGCGTCGGACACCAATCTGGTCGTCTCCATTCTCTCTCAGGTGCTCGCAAATCTGGTCGATGTATTGATCCTCGGAGTTTTTGACGTCCTGCGCTGGCAACTGGCAGCGAGATTTGCCGGCGTCTCGGCCACCACCTTTTTCCAACTGGGTAGTTCTACCCAATGGATTGCTGTCTTTTTCCTGACTATTACCAAACTGTCGGGTGTAGGTATTGGACTGGTCAGGTCAGTTCCGAATATTGGCAACTTCGCTTGCCGTCAACTAACTCTGAACCTCAAGACTACTACTACCCCTGTTTGGGCTCTACTTTGGGTCTGTTCTGAAATGTGTGTGCCCTTATCTGCCTGACTTAGCTTACTATCTGCATCTCCCCTGACCACATCGTAGACAAGGCCGAGTTTGTGTACTACTTCCAAGAGACAGCCGAAAAGATACCCGTATTCGCAGGGTCAGGGGTGCCCCTTGACGAGACACTACTCGCGCTAGTTCCGGCGTCCTACATCGGTGTCTTCTTCGTTTCTTGGATACCGACTCTATTAGACGTCCCAAAGTATGCCGTCTCCATGCCGATAGACGGATGCGGCGAGAATTGCACTTCGGTCTTCCTTCCCGGCGGGATCGAGACTGCTCGCAAACTGGGCCCGTATCTGAACATGACACTCTTGGAAGGGGGGGCGTTCCGGGGGTCTGACACGATCCAAATCCACAACGCACCCGGCATACTCTTGCGTTACGATGCCCTTCCGGCCAGCTTCGACTTCGACCGGGAAGACGAGTGCCGTCTGTACGGACAGCACCTCAACGACACACTACAGGTCTGCATCCGGCCGGTCAACGGCTCGCTGGCAGTCGGTGGGTTGATTGCCTCTCCCAGAACTCCAAGCCTATTATTTCAGTGATGCTAATCACAACCCCTTCTCCAGGCTGGGCAGCGTGCCCAACACCGCTCTACCAAACCAACTCCTGCGGCACCAACACGACCTGGCACACCAACGCCCTCCCCAAAAAGCTCCTCATGACCCGCTACAAACAGTACGCCACCACCGCCTACAACGGGCTCGACTTCTCCATCCTGCACGTCACGCCCACCTCGCCCCCCCACCCCGAAACGCTCCAACGCCTCAACCTACCTCGCCATCTGGTCCAAGATCTTCCAACCCCCCCCTCCCCCAAACCCCCACACCCCGCAACCCAGCACCGACCGCGCCCTCACCGACGCACTCACCTACGCCACGACCTGGCTCCTCCGCCTGTACCACGACATGTTCCCCGACGACACGCACACGCCGCTCGCCCACCTGCGCAATTTCCTCGGCCATCCCAGCAACAGTTTGTGGTTACCTGTCTGCAGTACACTAATTATAGCGTGCCGGCCTTATCGAGGGGGTGGGGGAGGTGGTGTTGACGGGGTGGGAGGGGCGGTTCGCGCTGCCGGGGGATATGAGTACCACGGCGGTGCGGGGGAGGTCGACGACGAGGTTGTTGGCGTTGAGGTGGGTGGTGTGGGTGTATTTTGCGTCGGTGGGGGTGGTGGTGGTGGGGGTGGGGGCGGTGATTGTGGGGATGGTGGCCAGGAGGGAGGGGGTGCCGGGTTCGAGTGGGTTGGTGGAGGTGGATGTGGCGGCGAGGTTTGGGGTTGAGGGGTGTGTGGGTGGAGGAGATAGGGAGAGGGTGGGAGAGGGAGGTGGAGACGGGTTGAGGGTGATGCGGGAGCTGGGTAGGGCTAGGGGGCGGAGAACGGCCGTGTCGTCTTCGTTTGGCGTGGCGAGGGAGCTGAGGAGGAGGAGGATACGGGTGGTAGCTGTTTCGTCCGCGGGTAGTGGACAAGGAGGTGTGCCTAGATATGAGAGCTTCGCGTTCCGGGAAGGGGCGGAAACCGGGAGAGGTAGCAAGAGGAACTGGCGGGACGGGCTAGAGCGGGCGGCGGCAACGGAAGGGAGGCGAGCGGTGAGTATCCAGACCGAGTTGGGCCAGGCGTCTCACCACTAATGTACAACAGCACGCGCAAACGGGTCAAACCCCAAGTTCTGTACTGGAGGACGGGTCGTGACGACCGACTGAAAAGTAATTAAATATGATGCTAACTATGAAGCCAACCTAAAAAACCGCACGAGGTTCAGGCCACACGGTAAAGGAGCCCAACCTCGCGGGTATTCTGTTCCAACTTTGAATACCAACGCGGAAAAGTGTGACTTGGGGGAGGGCGAAGAGGGTGATGAGAATGGAAGGACAACATAAGGATTACGGATAATTACAAAATGTTCAGAAACCTATGATGTTGGGACGGGCCATACACATGGGCTTTCGCTCCCTCGAACGGCCGCGTGGTGGGTCGTCCTCCTCCTCGTCGCTCTCAAAGTCATCCTCCTCCCCCGCATCGCTGTCAGCATCGACAGGAGCTACTTTCTGTTCGGCGGGGCTGACGGGGCGGTTGAAGGTGCGCGACGGCAAGATTCGAAGGAGGGAAAACAGACCGAGGCTGTTACGTATTTCTATCCTGACTCTCCTCGTGGCCGGGTTGAACAGTTGCACGGTGTACTCAAAGATGCCGGTGAGGAAGGGGTATGTCTGCTCGCGAAAGATGGACCATGCAAAGCGGGCCAGGAGGAACTCGACCGAGAGGCCGGTGGTGGGCTGCTGAAGAGTCCGGTTGTGGAACAGGTGGTGGAGCTCACGATCGCCACGGGGTTGCCATGTGTGAAAGACCAGGGAGGGTGTACCGAGGGGATCACCCGGGTTCCTCTTGGGCAGGATGGTGAAATGGCGCTGGTCGAAAAGCAAGTGCAGGTCTCGACGTAGCAGGATGAGATTACGGTCATCGTCGACGGGGTCCCTTCGCATGGGCAAGCGGCAGTACTGGGACATGTTGTTGACAAGAAACCAGGTGGAACTGGCAAAGGGAATGAGGTGAGAGGCTTCAGTGGCGTTGGTCCAGGCTGTGAGGCAACATGACTGGTCGCGGACGGCGACGGCCAACTTGCCGTCACGGTTGGGGCTTTGGGACGACGGCACAAAAGGAGGGATGTCCAAGGCCTGCCATAACTCGGGGAGGTTTCGGTGGGGGAAGCGCCAGTGGTCGAAGCTGGGGAATACAGGATATTGTTCGTCCTGGTTTTGGTTGACGAAGAAGTAGTAGGTGGACTCCCTCAGGATGCCATCCTCGGGTCGTGGAACGGCACGAAAGACAGTGTCACCACCCGAACGGTCCTTGATGCCAAACCAGCTCTGGGACCAATTGTTGCAAGCGACAATGCCACACGCGACCAGGGCTGTATCGTAGTCGATGCCAGCTTCTATTCCTTGTCCGCCATCGACGGCGATTAAAGAGAGGAGGTTCGGCCCAAAGTCTGGGTACCCGGGGTGCCGAAAGGCGATGGTGCGTGGTTGCGTCGCGATTGTGGAGTCCGAGGGTGGAATTGGTGGTGGCAGAGGTGGCCGAAGCCGGAATTTGCTGGCCGCGGTGGGGTCTTCCATAGTGCCGGAGATGGTGCGTGTTTGCAAAGAACCTGGAAGGTCCACGCTTGCCATGGTAGCATTGAACGCGCTCGATGGCGCTTGAGTCGCGCTTATTAGCGGTGTGATTGCAACTTTGTGTGGGGTCGACGCCTTGGCACGTGAATTTTGCCAAGACATGGAAACAGAAGGCGGAGAAAAAGAAAAAAAAGAAAAAAAAGAAAAAGAAATGCAAAAAAGAAACAGGGATTGATAGAATAGATAGTTAATGATAAAACAAATTGATTCCCCCCAATCAAACCGCACCCAATGCTGCTTTGCAGACCACGGCTACGCGACTCACAAAGAGTTAGAAGGGCGCAACGCCCCGTGCACAGGACTGTGTAAGCGCCGCAGTGTGATCTCCTCCGTCGTCATCGAGAAGGGCTGATGCGAGAGGGCGGCACGGCTGTGGTGATCCTGGGCTCATCACCAGGACTGCACCGGCTTTGATGTCACATCAACCAGGGGGCGGGCGGCACATGGGCGTTTGTTGGATCATCATCCGTCTTACACTAGTTACATCGCACTGATAAAGCCCACACTTGCCGTTTCCGGGGACGAGATATTTTCTGTTGGAATTTCTCATCATAACCCCCAACTCGACAAGTGAGCCATCTCCTAATACACAACCAATCCATTCATTCTAACCGAGACATAAAACAACCCGGAAGCCTTGAAACTGCCGAGCAGCCAAGCCCGAATCTTCCGAAAAAGGGGACCCGAAACATATCAATTCGCACCCATCACCCAGCGTCCTTCACTCCATCGTCCCTCTCGACCACACAAACATCATGGCTACGCCCAATAAAAAGCCAGCCAAGCCCGAGGCAAACCCTCTACTCAAATCTTACTACGAATCCCTAGAATCCCGCATCGGATACCGCCTTGTTCTCGGAGGGACCCGTCACTTCGGCTACTATGACAGCCCTTCATCATGGGCCTTCCCAGTAGGGAAAGCACTGCGCGCCATGGAGGAGAAACTATTCCTCGCGCTCGGCCTCCCCCAGGGCTCGCAAGTCGTCGACGCCGGCTGCGGCGTGGGCCACGTAGCGCTGTACATGGCACGGCGCGGGCTACGCGTCACCGCCATCGACCTGATCGACCACCACATCGCCAAAGCCCAGCGCAACGTCGCCCGCGCCCGCCTACCCCCGGGGCAGGTCACGGTCCAAAAGATGGACTACCACCACCTGGACGCCATCCCCGATGCCTCCCATGACGGGCTCTACACCATGGAGACCTTCGTGCACGCCACCGACCCGGAGAAGGCCCTGGCCGGGTTCCACCGCATCCTGCGGCGGGGTGGTAGGATAGCCCTGTTTGAGTACGACCACACCGTCGGCGTGGAGGAGCATATCCCGCAGAAGGTGGCCGACGAGATAGACTTGGTCAACAAGTACGCCGCCATGCCCACCAATGCGCGCTCGCATGACGGAGTGTTTAAGCAGATGCTGGAGGATGCTGGGTTTGTGGATGTCGAGGTGGTGGATTACTCGGCGAATATCCGGCCCATGTTGAGGTTGTTTTATCAGCTGGCGGCGGTGCCGTACTTCTTCATCAAGCTGTTCAGGCTGGAGCGTTGGTTTATCAACACGGTGGCTGGCGCTCAGGGCTATCTGCACCAGGAGCATTGGCGTTATGTGGTTGTCATGGGGAGGAAGCCCGGGGGCACGATCGAGGGAGCCAAGACGAAGTAGCGATCTGGCCGACTGCCGAGCGGTCTTGTGCGAGTAGCGTGAACCTTTAAGGGCATGGAGTAAGGAGTCGGGGGTATAGGTACTTTGTTGCGTGGGAGCAAGCGGCGAATATATATCTCGGGTATCCCTAAGTCATTACAATCGAACTCATCTGCCTACTGTGCAATGCATACACTCCACTGAGCACACATTCTTGCGAGTTTCCAGTGGGTCCGTTATGGCACCGTCCGGTCTCAGCGTCTAAACCGCCTCCCCGTGACCGGTTCCAGCTATGTCCTGTTTTAACCGCCTCCCCGTGACCGGTTCCAGCTATGTCCTCTCCACCTCCCCTTACCATCGCCCTCATTCCGCTCATCTCAAAGTTAAATATGGCTCTGAACTCCAGGGTCACAACCAGATATCGCGCCGTTAACGATAATGATAGCATCGGAATTTGAAGGCCGTGTTGACGATTACCATATCATGCGCGAGGTAAGGGGCTCATGGGCCATTGTCAGTAATGATATTAATCGGGAACGTTACTAGGACATGTAATAAAGAACCACGCTTTGGATATTTGTTTCCTGGGTGTTGAAGAGATGGAGCTTTTGGCCAGACCATAACGAAAGTGTGTTACAAGCCCTCCGCGCTCGGCCGACCTAAAACATCAGTAGATCGAAGCCGATCCCGTGCACATTCGTGAACCCCTTCCAGAAGCTTCCGTGCCTGGTCCGTGTCCATTGCGTCGATGTAACTAACAGTGAGCTTCTTACAGTTCCGGTTAACGTCTGTGAACTTCTTGGTTATCATGTCCCGCACAGCGAGGACGTCTGTAGGATCGCCCTCATAGGAGAAATCATGCTCCGGCGGCATCGTCAGTCCCAACTTTATCTTCTGCTCAAAGATGTCTGCTTTGGTGAAATCGAGAAGCACTGTCGATTCGGTGAACCAGTGGCTGTTGATGAAGGTCTCGAATACCTTCAATGATTCGGCAAGGTGGTTCTTGGAAGACGAAAGTTGTCAGCTCGGGGATGACGGGGGGGGGTTAATTATCAGGGGTATCGGAAACCTACCGCACGATGATCTTCGCTGAGCCTACGGTCGTATGTCCCCAAGGTAACTTGAAAGAGAACAATATCGTCATTCTCAAACACATGGATCCATTTTTTGCGTTCGGAACGTTCGCCGCCTACATCGAAGACGTGGTATACGTGCCCGTCGACGTGGTAAACCTCCTCAGAGATTCCCGTTGTTCACACTCTTGCGTTTATTATGTCTTGGTGGCTAGGTATGTAGCTCGGAGAGAAGATTCGATCAATGTTTTCCATGAAGCTGATAGCCACTCATGATTCAGCTATGCTTTTGCCTCAAGGCGGCTCGAATTGGCTGGAGTGAGTGATGAACAGAAGTGGAACTTACTAGGAAAGCTGGATATTTCTGTCTGGAGATCTCGACAGCCATTCGCGCCATTCTGCGTCGGACCATAACTCGGAGCAAGGCTACAGGGCGCTTCGTAGCAGGCCGTCACTGGCACGAAGGCCACTAAGTTCCCAAACGCTGCGTTAATATCCTGGATATACGCCTAAGGCACGTTAGAAACATGTACCCAAAGAGATTGTGGCAGGCAATAAAGTTCGGAACTCTCAGGATCAAGGGGGATCGGCTTAGGCCATACCTGGACCTGCGGCGAGAACGTGCCGTCTTCGGAGTCGAGTTCGTCTCCAAGAGCCCCAGCAAGTTCGCACATATTGCTGAATATTATTTGCTTGAAGTAACTAGTTCTTTCTTTCCTTGGGATATTCTGTATTTTGGCCCCATAATACTAGCATCTGCTTCAACAGCGTCGTTTTCGAACATCCTGATATCCCTAGAGTTTGATCAAACTTGTTAGCCCGATTTTACAAGAAGGCGGGACTAACGTTGTAAACTCACCTAGCAGGATAATATTGAATTCACGGCCTCGGAGACTCTCGCCTGTCTGCTGCTGTTCCTCGGGTGGAGGTACAATCAGCCTCGAAGCCTCTTCACATTCCCGGGACTTCTTTAGGTTGTTGCGCCAGGCGCGGCCATAGACGGTCGAGCCGCGCAATTGTTTGTCGAATCCAAAAACCCATGACAGCTTGGAGAGCGCATCCGAGGCGACGGAACGGTAAGAGGTTGCATCCCGGAGAACTATCAACGAGGCTGAGTCTGAGAATATCATCTCAGGCATCTCTGCATGGCCCTTGCTGCCTGATTGTTGGGGGCACAGTCTCGATCTGGGTAACGTGAAATGGTACATGGAGGAGGGCGGGCAGATCTGGCACTACCTGGTGCCTAGGTATGTACCTTAATTATAAACGTGAACGAAAACCTCAAGGAAAAGGCTGGAAACCGGCGCCGACAAGCTGAAGGTGACCGCCATATCTCTCCATCTCTCGTCGTATTTCCTCTCCTCTCCCTCTCTATCGCTCCGTTTTGCTTTCTGGTTCAAAGTCAAACCACCGTCATTTACCTGCATCTCTGAACCCTTCCCTCCACAGCTACAACTACAACTACTCTTTTTGGTCGGTCCACACCAGAAGGGTTCCAATGGCCGACTCCTCCACACTCTACCAGAAGGGTGACCGGTTCCGCATTCGGCCTCACGTCCCACCAGAACCATTTGGCGGCACCTACAGACCGAATACGCGACCTAAAATATCAGTTTGGCCAAATGATGTGCCTGAGGAACGCCTTGCATTCGCCCTTCAATACCCGCCCATGGAAACCGCCCCGCCGCCATCCGTACATGCAACTGAGCACGTGTTTACCATCACGGGTACGAAAACCCTACGGCGTATCGGGGTTGACGGAGGCGGACAAGGCGGTGCCCATGTGGTGACCGGATACTTGGATCAGAATAAAGCCATATCATATGTGGCTAAAATCTATGATGGCCTTTCTTACCCATTCGAGAATCCGGATATCAACTGGGACTTCATGACGCTCGCCGATCACGACTACGCAGTGGAGGGTTGGGCCTATAAAACCATACAGTCCGTCCCCACTGCTGCATCCAAGGTGTCCAACTACCATGGTGCTTGGACCTTTTCGGTCGCTACCAATCAACCCGGCCACCAGCGCTGGGTGCGCATGATCCTCCTCCAGCTCGTGCCGGGCGAGACCATATTCGACAAGATTCTCAGAGCTAGTACGGATGGCCCCGTCCGATACAATCTCTTACCTGATGAGAACTTTCGACTCGCTGTTCTGAAACAAACGTTTGAAGCCGAGATCTCGCTTTGGTGGGACGCTGAGGTCACACACATGGATACAGAACCACGGAACGTCATGATCCAAGGCAACGGTAAGATGGTACTCATTGATTTTCCACGGCACTCCCAAGCCCCACGTTGTCAGCCGACAACTCGAAATTCGACGTGGTCTGAGGCAGGCACCACCAGCTTCGGCCGCCCTCCATTGTCCGCGGGCTGAACTACTCGGCCCCTCCAGGACGGCAAGCTCACGACCGTCTCGGCATGCTCGTCTTCGACATGGCCCCAGTCCCACCAATCAACACCAGTTGCGCCCAGGAACCGGTACCGAAATCGATCTCCGACTTTAGTATCCTTGGGGAGCCTTGTGTCCGTGGGCGTTTGGATTTGATATGCCGTCGTCCAGAACTCACCCGGGCGCAAGCTGATAAAATCACTCTCCTCCTGGATGTGGACCTTGATATCTGGCCCATCGAAATCGAATATTCCACATCCTTCCTCCTCATCGTCAATCTCGCAAACCTGCCATGCCTGCTCATCGCTACCTTCATCCAATTTATGATATCTGTAGAATTCATAGCCTTCGCGCCGACTTCGCAGACCAATGGACCCTGACTGCCATAAATCACACGCTCGAAAAGTGATGGGCTTCTCTGATGCTGGCGCGTCGTAAGTCACCTTGGCTCGCACCTCAAACGTCGAACTACCCGGGCGAGACTTGTGCAAGGTTAATTCCCGAGGACAGTCCAATGTGACGACGAGAATAGGCGCCCCCGGTCTGTCATATAACGTGTCTCGTCAGAATCGCTGCGGGTAATAACATGGTGTAAGACGGAAAAAGAAACCACGTACACTCTCTCGGAAGCCTTCACAAAATCCGGTGCACGCCTCTTTTTCGCTTCTCCCCATCGCCACACCAGCTCAGCATCATTTGCGCTCGCAAACCCCAGCCTGGCCTCGTGTTCCTCCCGCCCAGGCCAAGGAACCGCTTCCGTTCCCGCTGCAAACCCCAACCGACTCCCACCCGGCATGACCAACTTCGGCAACTTCTCCTTCACGTTAGCACCTGGTGTCCGAAACTCTACGATGGGAAGGCTCAGCTTCTTTTCCCAATGGTCTCTTTTTGAGTCCCAAACCCACACACGGCCTTCACCCCCCGGATAGAGCAGTTCGTATCTCTCACCAGTCACAACAAGCTTGTGATACCGCTCTGGCAACTTGTAACTCGCCATTGGCGGCGTCCTGCCGTTTGGCGGGAGCTCCACCCATCCCGATTCCGAGCCCCAAAGCCATCCGCGGCCGTCCCTGTCCGAAACGTACTTACCAGCCGTCGGGTCGGGCTCGACATCCACCCGTTCCAGTTCCAGGCCACCGTCGGCGTTGGTGATGTGGTGGAGCAGGATGAGGTTGGAGGGGATCAGGATATCAAGGGCGGCGTTCCAGATGATCATGCAGTGCCTGGGGTCGTCGTCTTCCCGCTGGAGGTAAAATGAAATGTCATAGGGGAGTGTGGTCGACAGGCGTGGTGGCGCTTCCATGCAGAGACGGACGCGGGGTGTGTGCGGCAATCGATCGGCTTCTGTTAGCCGGATGTAAGGGGCTAGCAGGTCGTCCATTGGCCATATCTGGTGGTTCACAGCCATTCTCGCTCTGTGACGGGGGGTTGAGAAGTAAGATACACAATGTGTACGTAGATATTCAATGGAGAAACAAGGGACTGCGCGGGGCCGCCATTGAAGGTTAAACCGGGCTTGACTGAGTCACCGGTGAGAGGCACCCAAGCAACCCAACCAACCAAGTGGAGCTAACCACTTCGCTGGCTCCTTGCGCTCTTGTCTTCCGCCTCACTCCGAATTACATGGTAAAATCATGATCCTCAACTTTGCAGGATCGTAGCCTGAACCCGTCATACAAATATGATATCACATCCTGGAGGATTGGGGGGGACACTGGATAGGATTACCAGTCGGATCTTGCCAGCGCAGATCCCCCAGCAATTACTGGACCAGACAAAAAGAAAGCCCAAGCAGGGAACATTTCCATAATAGGTACCTAATCTACATTCATGAGTACAATATCAATGACCATACCTATGCAAACCACGCTGCGTTGTTTAGGTCTAGTAAGCTCTTGTAGGGTTCTTTCTAACCCTGGCACATTTAAAAGCATCAGACCCTTCGAGGCGCGGTGTTAAGCTAAGCATATCTAGTTTAGCCTGCTTTCACCTTTGAACGGCTTCATATGTTCCTAGGAGAGCTTCTTGAGAATGATAGGCCGAATTAGAAACGCAGTGTAACTGAGCCCAAGCAACGCTGCCCTGATATGTCGGGAAAGAACTTAAGTAGAGACGCGTGACAATTTGGGCTCAAAGGGGTCAAAAAGACGCAGGTGAGCTGTGGACAGGCCGCTGGTCGCGATACTTTTTTCGTCCCAACACGCCTCTTAGTATCTGATACCGTCCGGTGCATCAGAGTCTGGACCAAGAGACCACGGCCTATCCTAGGTACGCTAAGTTCGGCGCAATCATCTGCGCAATATCTAAAGCGGGGTTTTGGTGGTTTTCCCATGCCTGATGTCACTGATGAATGATACCTACCCATGCAGTGCAACCAGCCTCCAAAGATGACGTGAGGATGGCCACCATACTAACCAGGCCGTTGATACTATCAGTTTTACTCTTTACATAGACAGGAATGTCATCAAAATCCCGTTTTTTTATACCTTTCAAGGAGAATAAGCCCGCGAGACCCCCGCGTTAGCAGAGAAACTATTGACTACTAAACCAGGTTCATGACTACGTGTGTGCGTCGGTCTGGATGCGGACACGAATCAATTCACGTCGATTCCAGCCGGCTGCAGGCTTGGTACCGGGCATGAACCAATCGAACGGCCGCGGAAACGCTGTGACGGGATGATGTCTTGTTTCCCACCCCCCGACTGGACCTTGGGGCCCGTGTCGATCGCTTAATTGATGCTAGGCCGGATACTTCGTACCCGTGGAAAATGGAAGCAATAAAGGCTTGAAGGACCGCCTTGGATCTGGGGGATTCTGACTTCTGGCAGTGTATACTGAGCACGTACAAAAGCACAACTCGGAGCTGCAGCTGCGCGGTGCCACCCGAATATTTTGAAAACCAGGGCTCAACCGGATACTCCCGACTGGATTAGCAGTCTGAGACACGCAGAACGCCACAGAGATCGTTAAGCGTACCCCGCACGCGATACGATGGCGGTACTCCTGCAAGAAATCGCTTCGGGCCTCACCTTTTGGGGGAGTGGGTCCTGACCATCGGCCTCGTCGCCATCGCCGCCTATGTAGTGTCTTCATTCCGCGCCTGGTGGCGTCTCCGCGAGTTCAATGGCCCCTTCCTGGCTTCTTTCTCTTACCTCTGGATCGCCCGAGCCTCGCTCAGCGGCCGCATGGGCGAGCGATGGACGGAGACCGAAGCCAAGTACGGGACGGGGACGCCGTCGACGGTGCGCATCGGCCCGAACGAGCTCCTCACCAGCGACCCGGACGTGATCCGGCGCACATCGGCAGCGCGGTCCAAGTACACGCGGTCCGACTGGTACAAGCTCAGCACAATCGACCCGTACGAGGACGCCATGCTCAACGTGCTCGACACGGCCGAGCACGACAAGATCAAGGCGCAGACGGCGCCTGGGTACGCTGGCAGGGATAACCCGGGTCTCGAGAGCGAGGTCGACATGATCCTGAACCTGTTGACCAACAAGATCCGGACCAAGTACGCCGCCGCCAAGCCCGGGGACCAGAAGCCCATGTTGGATCTAGCCACCATCGCGCAGTACTTCACGCTCGACTCCATCTCCAAGATCGCTTTCGGGGAAGAGTTTGGCCTTATCGAGGCAGAGCGGGACATCCACCGGCACATGGAGGTGCTCAACGACGTGGCGCCGGCGTCGGTCACCATTTCCGCAGTCCCCTATTTCCGGGCCATCTTTGGGTCCAACTTGGTGCTGAAGCTGATCGGGCCTACACCGAAAGACAAGAAAGGAATGGGGAGAATCATGGCGTGCGTCTTTCCGTTTTACAGTCTCTCCCCGTGGACGCAGAGCTGATCGAACAACCACAGAACCGGCAAAGCGATCGTGGGCAAACGGTTCGCGCAGGAGGATGCCAAAGACCGGCAAGACATGCTAGTTTGTGACCCCTTACTCCTCCCCAGCGACGAGAACCTCCTTACTCACTATTTAAAAACACAGGGCTCCTTCATCCGGCACGGCCTGTCGCAGCGCAAGTGCGAGACGGAGGCGCTGATCCAGATCATCGCGGGTTCAGACACGACGGCGACGACAATCCGGGTGGTGATGCTCTACCTGATGTCGACGCCGCGGGCCTACTGGGCGCTGCAGGCCGAGATTGACGCGGGGATCAAGGCGGGCCGGGTCTCAAGCCCCGTGACCAGCGCCGAGGCCCAGGAGATGCCGTATTTGCAGGTGAGCAATAACTACCCATCGGCCCTTCCCACCCCTATTTTCTTTCACCCACCCGCTCACCCATTTCCCTCAATCCCCAGGCCGTGATAATCGAAGCCCTGCGGCTCTTCCCGCCCTTCACAGGTGTCCCCTTCAAAGCAGTCCCCCCGCAGGGCGACATCATCGACGGCAAGCACGTTCCGGGGGGCACGCTGATCGCGCCCAACTTCTGGACGACAGGCCGCAACCCAGCCGTCTTTGGCGCCGACGTGGAGGTGTTCCGCCCCGAGCGCTGGCTCGAGGCCGACGCGGCGGCGGCCGAGAGCGGTGACCGCGAGCGGCGGGCCGAGATGCGCCGCGTGGCGGAGCTGGCGTTTGGGTATGGGCGGTGGGGGTGCGCGGGCAAGATGATTGCGTTTTTGGAGCTGAATAAGGTGTTTGTCGAGGTGAGTTCTTGGGTTCTCCCCTTTGCTTCTTTCCTTTTTCGGCTTGCTTCGAGTTGTGTCCCCGTTTTGGTGCAGTGGCAGCGGCAAGTTGTGCTGATAGATATCATCCCCTCCCAGTTGCTCCGCCAATTCGACTTCCAACTCGTGAATCCCGCGCGGCCGTGGAAGTGTGTCAACTACAACCTCTTTTTCCAGTCCGACATGTGGGTGTCGGTGGCGCTGCGGGAGAGCCAGGCGGAGAAGTAGGATGGGTATCCTTGTGGTTGTTTGTAATCGGGCGACGCTGTGAGATGATTAATGAGAGTGCGAAAGTACCGCCATTTCATTTTGTATTTGTTGATTTCGTTTCGAGTCTTGACCGGTAACACCATCTCCGGGCCCCTTCGGTTGGACAAAGTGTTGGTGGATACAGGTACCGAAGTTACGAAATAGTCTGTGGCAGTGTCTCCTCGTATTTCCGCTTGGCTCACGCTTGGAAAACATTTGGCAATGGAGAAATACCATCAGCGACCATGTTCCCCATGGTCATGTTTTCCCAGTGCGATTGGTCGTTGATTCCGACAGAACGGTGCGGCGGGGCCGGGGGCGCGTTGAGACTCGGTTCCAGCTTCCGAGAGAGCCGTGGTGCCGTGTTAAAAAGTAAGGTTGGATCCGCCGTCGGGCTGCCCGCGGAGTTTCATGCAAAACGATGCAAATGCCAAGCCGGGCATGGGGAAATGCAAGGAAGAATCCCAGAAAATAAACTTTGCATCCCAAGATCTTGAACTCAACGGCTGCTTTTCCAACCCTCCAAACCAAAACGACAAACAAGGACGGAGAAAAGCTAATAATAGTATACTAAAAATAATAACAGCGCAATCTGGGAAAGAATCGTTGCTCATTGTTGCTCTCCTTCCAGTTTTTGATCTTTTTTTCCTCGTGATTCGGCAGAAAAATGCAAGATCCGGATCGCCATCAATGGACAGCGATTCCCGGACGCGCCAAGGTCACGGCACAACTCCTCGGGAACGGCTGCCATTCGATTGGCTGCTCCAAGAAACACTATCCCAAATTGGACAGCTTCGGTGCGGATCCCGTCGCAGAATCCAGGGGCTCCCAGCCGCTGGCTTGTGCGGACAACGGGCTTTCCCGCTTTTGGTCTGATTGCCAAGCCGTTTCCAAGCTGTACCTGCGTTCCATGGGCGCCCCTTTTACCCCTTCAATTCTGCACTTGCAGTCTGCAGTGCCCATCGCTGCCAGTGCTGTGTTCACTCTTTCCATTTCCAGTCGTCATCGCATCGACCCCTCGAGACATCATCCGAGTCCCCTCTGTTTTGGTGCAATTGCGCATCACTCAGGCTGCACCTCGGCGCTCGAGTCACTCCTTTGGATCACTTCACTCATTTTGAAGCAAGACACTTGACACTTTACGGATACCTGCACCACCGACAGTCACGCAAATACACTCCCTGACGCCCCGAATCTGCTGCCGTGCGAATTCGCTCCTTCGTTCGCACTGCAACAAACGTTCAAACCCTTTCGATTCGATTCTGTATCTCGCAACTGACAGCGATTTCCCTTTACGGCTTTTACCGCTTTGCGCACTGAAGTCCTGGCGACATCGTGCGAATATCGACATGCAACATTGACCGTGACGACGACAAAATATCAGACATATTTATTTCTGTTTTCTGAACGACCAGTTTCAACCCACCACCGATTCTGCCCATAAGCGTACAGCACATCTTTTAAAGAGCCATTTGAAGCCGCCACCACCATGTGGCTATCATCAGCGCCCGCCTCGGCCATCGCGCTGCTGGCGTGGTCCTCCCTCGTCAGCAATGTCGCCGCCCAAGTCACGACCGACTGCTTTCCCATGAACAAGACGTGCCCGCCCAATCCCGCCTTTGGCATGGAGGCCAACTTCAACTTCAACAGCACACCAAACATCGAGATCTGGGAGACAACAGTGCGCCCCGTGACCTACGATTCTGAGAATGGCGCCGGCTTCAGGATCACCAACATGGGCGACTCGCCAACCATCCGCTCCAAGTTCTACTACTTTTGGGGCCGTACCGAGGTCCACCTGAAGGCCTCCAAGGGCACTGGCGTCATCAGCTCCATCATGATGTTGAGCGACAACCTGGACGAGATCGACTGGGAGTTCTTTGGCGGCAACGAGACCATCGCCCAGAGCAACTACTTCGGCAAGGGTTTCATGCCCGAGATCCCCAACGCCGAGTACCACCAAGTGCCCGCCGGTGTGCAGGACGACTTCCACAACTACACCACCGTCTGGACCAAGGACTTTTTGGACTTCTACATCGACGGGGGCAAGGTGCGCCGCCTGGTGCCCAACGACGCCAACAACACCTACTACTACCCGCAGACCCCGATGCGCCTGTCCATCGGCATCTGGGCCGGTGGCGATCCCAGGATGCCCAAGGGCACGCGCGAGTGGGCCGGCGGAGACACCGACTACACCCAGGGGCCGTTTGACATGTTTGTCAAGAGCGCCCACGTCGAGGACTACAGCAGCGGTAAGGAGTACGAGTACACCGACAAGACGGGCTCGTGGGAGAGCATCAAGATCATCGAGTAAGTGTCACGTGCGCGTCCCACGATCTTAGAGCCGACCACTAACCCACATCCAGGGGCAACTCGACCGTCAAGGAAGTCATGAACGCACCTCCCGAAAAATCCCTCTCGGACAAGTGGAACGACCTCCCCAACGGCAGCAAGATTGCCATCTACTCCAGCGTAGCGGGCTTCTTCGGCCTGCTCATCTTCACCGGTCTCTTCTACTGCATCCGGCAACGCCGCCGCGGCGCGCGCGAAGCCAAGGCCGCCGAAGCCCGCGCCGAGGCCGAGCGGCTCGAGCTCGAACGCTTCCGCAAGGCCGGTGTCGACCCGGACAGCTTCGCCTCGCAAGCACACGAGTACAACGCCAAGGAGATGCGCCGCGACGGCTTCACCGACGAGGACGGTTACAGCGTCCCCGGCTCCCCCAACCTCCAGGCCACCACCCCCGCCTCCCCGCTCGACCACCGCTGGGACTCTGCCGCCGCCGCCGGCTTGGGCGTAGCCGCCGGTGCCGGTGCCGCCGCCGCCGCTGGCAATGGTAATGGTAACAACAACAACAACGGCCCGCACAGCCCCGTCCCCCGGCTCGGCGACCGCGCCCAGTCCCCCCGCGTCGGCAGTCCCGGCCCCAACAGCCCGGGCGGCATGCGCAGCCCCACCCTGACGCAGCCCAACCGCAGCTACACCAGCCCGCGCATGGGCTCCCCGGGGCCCGGGTACCAGCAACTTGCGCAACCGCAGCCGCAGCGGAGTTTTACCACCGATGGGGGGTTTGGCGGGGATGGGCTTGATGGGCACGGGCATGACCAGGGGTATGGGAACGGGGGTGATGGCAGTTATGGGAATGGTGGACAGGGGGGTGGGAGAGGCGGTGATGCGTACTGGGGAAATGGGGGCGGGTATAGGTAATAGATGGCGATAAAGGGGGTGGTGACGCATGGGAGGAGGGAGGTGGATAGCGTTTTCGGGGGAGCTGTGATAAAGGGGGGAGGCAATCTGCCGAGCGATGGATCTCTTTTTTTTATTTTCTTGTCGTTTCTTTTTTTTTCTTTTTTTGTGGTTTGGCACCGTTTTCTTGTCCCTTCTCTTTCTGCGTATCGGCATGGACTTGGCTTTGATGATGTTGCGGTCTTGATGACGGTGTCACCGCGCAGAACCCCCTCCCCCCCAGCGTCCCCCACGTGGTTTTGGATAGATCGGGCTGATGATAGAGCGTGTCGCCCTTGGAGCGTCTTGCAAGCGGACCGGGACAAGCTAGACTATTACTTAGTGTACCCCGAGTCATTGGCTGTTGACGGCAAATATACCCTTGGCATTTTTGGTGTTTTGCGTGTTGGTTTCCTAAGTTGATTATGTTTCTCTTTTGCGTTGATGACCATCGCTGTTCTCGTCTTGTCCCTACTCGGCCTCCGCATAACTGGTGCCGAGGGCTGTGTTCACCATCAGCTTGCTACCTCGCAGCAACGAGTCGCGACTCAATCACTCCTTGCTATGTGAAATACATCAGAGGTATTGTTGCACAAATAGGTATCTTGGATATTTCTCTACACGACGCACTATCTGGGACAATGTTATAGCAGCCAAAAGGGCAGAACGGGACCCAGACATGCATCAATTTTCCGTTGCCCTGTTATCCACCATTGTCCCGGAATCCTCAGATTGGCCAGGGTCAGCAACTTCGGGAAGATGAGCAGATTCCTGGCGGGACTCCAAGTCAAGAGCCAAAGGACTATGGGAACACAGCCCCTTATAACTGAACTGCTGTGGGTGATTCCAAGGGGAAAGAGAGTGGAGACGACGGTGCTCCTCCGCGCGGCTCGGTGCGCCAGCCGACTCGGTCTCTGTTAGCGCCTCAAGCCAGACAGTCAAGATCGCCTCGGCAAACACCACGAGCTCTCGTGCTTTGGTTATATCCCCAATTTCTAAAGACGCTGCCTCAGTTACCAGGAGCGTCGCAAAATACCCAGTGGCACGGCTTAAGCCACGTTGTTTGATCCGGTTGTCGAGGCTAGAGCCTGAATTCCGACCATGTCTCTCGCGGTGCTGAAGCGCTCTTCCAAACAATCCATGGCCATATTTGGTAGCTGAACCGATGTAAAGGTATTTCTCCACTCTTAGAGGATTTAGGCTACCGCTACCGCCACGCTTGAGAAGCCACGCATAGACCCCGAAACGGCTCGTATCCTGCCAGGTCAAATTTCTCCAGTCTGCAGCTGTGGGCGGGCTGGGGGCGGCCAAGATGTGCTTCACCCGTGTTGGGATCAATGGGAGAATGGTTGCCACCCAGGCTTCCGTCGATTTTGCGCTCAAGATGGCTTTCCATTGAGTGGTGACGAGGTCGCGTTTCTTTAGCATTCCGTCGATGACGTGGCACATTCGTGCCTCGAGGATGGACTGCTCTTCGTTCCCGAGATCTCCGTCCAGAGACTCTACCGAGAAGGAGACGGCTTCGTTCCCCAGCTCTACACTCATTTTCTTCGCCATCAACCGTAACCGGGACCGAACGGAGTCTGGTTCTCGGCCTATTTGACGTGCGATGGATTCAATGTTGATTCTCCGGCGGTTATGGGTGAGCTTGATCAGGTGCTCCTTCTCTTCATCTGACCATTTCCCGCGTTTTCGTTCCCGCATCAGGCTGGCCAACTCCTTGTCCTCTTTTAGCATGGCGAGAAATACCCATTGGGGGATCTCGCACCGCGCAATGTCTGCCAAATTATAAATCTCTGAGCCTCTGTAACCTTGCCGCAGGAGTTTTGCCACTTTTTGTTTGGCTGCCGGAGCCAAGAGGTCGTCTTCATTGCGTGGCCTACCGGCCGTGTGACAAGTACGGACATGGATGGTGATACTGTTGGGTTGCATATGATGACGCATCGCCATGTAGTCATGATTCCATCTTCCAAACGGGGGAGACGCCAGCAAGGCAGTGCGCGTTCGGAGCACCGCTAAAGAGATGTGACCCCTGCAGCCTGGTCGGGACGCCTTTGACGGAGATGGCATGGTTGAGACAGTGAGGGGCATGATTCGACAAGGCCGACGGTGCCCCATGATCTGACAAAGGCGGCCACCGCCTAGAACACGACTCATTTTTTCCAGACGAGGGTATCGTTATTGTTGGTAATGGCTGACCTGAGTGGGGGTTCGATGCGGTTAAGGTTAGAGTCGTCGAGCACTCCTAGTTGACGGCGGAATCAAGTTGTGATATTGGATTGTTGAAGAGGGTCTTGCCACTGTTGCTAAAACGGGCCAGATGAGATGCGGGAGGGTTTGTAGACTCGAGAGAGGGATGTCCCTGTCTTCTGGAGTAAGCTACCACACAAACGTGTGTGGGTAGCACGGGAGGCTCGCGCTTAGGTAGGCCGGATATAAGAAAACGCGGAAAGCCTCAAGGTCTTTCCCACTGGGATTCTCAATAATCTTCGACTGCGGGTGTCATGGCGACGCGTCCTTGATGAGAAACCGAGAAAAAAATGTAGTTCATTCAGCAGCTCAGGTGGCCCAGAGTTATCGAGAAGTAAAGCATCGATGACTTACCTCGCTAAACAAATTTCCGCGATTTGTCTAGTCATGGTTGGGTTGGGGGAAGAAGCGGACGTCATAAACACGAACACAGACTCACTTGAAGCAACTGTCCTGCAAGAAATTCGTTTATAAGTCAGCGCTTCAACACGTTAGTTTGTTCTAAGCTACCAGCCTCTTTCAAATCTCGGCACCTACCTAGCTACATGTCTGGTAGCAACAATGTAGCAACAAACAACACTCCCATCCCTCCCTCTATTTCACCTAAGTTTTCTTCTCGATAACCGGGGGAGCATAACGAATTGGATGCTGGATAATATGGTTCGGGAGTCTCTCTTTGCTCAGGTAGCTCTGCACCAAGGCATCCCGGACCTGCTTGGGCGTAGCCTCATCGCTTGCATGACACCGGGCCAGGACAGCCTTGTTGTCTTGGGCTATCTTGGTTCTCTTTGATCTGGTGCCGGCCTTGTTGGAACCTACAGGCTGGATGTAGATGCGGTGCACGTAAGGAGCCTCGTTGGGGTCATCATTGCCCTTTTACCTCGAGTTGGTTTTCCCTCAGATCCAGGGCCAGTGCTTCGATAGCCCCCATCTAACCTCTCTACAGCATCTAGATGACAACTTACTCCCTGATAATCAAGTCGATCATCCTCCCGCCATATCTATTGCAATATTGTGTTCTTTTCCGCCTAGGTTGGACAGCTTGTCGTCGGAGACGCCATCGAGGAATTCACGGACCGACTTCTTCTGCGGAGCCATTGAATCGATATAAGTACCTAGGACCCTGGCTGTCTGTTGAGTTCGTTGAAATTGTCCCCGTTCGCTTGCGAGCCTTGAGTCAACCGAGTTGCTGAAAGATGATAGATGGTATGGCAAGAAGACAGGTTGTGGCATATCATGTTCATTTTCCGGCTCTCGAAAACGGAGTTGAACTGGTATATATATGATATATGATCTATCTTGGGCGGTGACCTGTGCCATCCCTTTCGCGCCCCCGGCCATCAAATACGCCAAATCATTGCTGTCACACTACAACCGTACCACGATATTTTGCACAAGCTACCTAGCTACCTAGATACCTAGGTACGCAAGGTAGGTAGTCAGGTAAGTAAGGTAAGTAATCAGTACCTAGTCACCACTCACCAGGTACATGTACCCAACCTGTGGCGAAAATTCGCCGTTGCGTGGTTGTGTGATGCAAGGTTCCATTACACAGAGTCAGTGACCGAGTGACATGCATGGAAGTTGACAACACAACAGTGCCAATTTGTGCCCTTCATGATTGCTTAGCTGTTGGCTGTTGGCTGCGTTGTGGAGCGTACCTTCCATACCTACCTGACCTGCCCGGTTTAAGGCGACCCCGTGTTTGTCAATTTGCCAATTTACCAAGCAAGGCTTTTGCTCAACTCGCATTCTCGCAGGCGCCCTTTGTCCCGACACGCACATTAAACTTGAAGTTTTTGATTCTCGACCCCTAAACCATTCGCCAACCCCAACATGGCGTGGCAGCAATATCTACCAGACGACCGTCTCAAATGGACACCGGGCTGGGACTCTCACCCCATTTGGCCCTCCGAACCCGACATCGAGGCCATCAAGAACTTGATCTGGTCCAAGTATGCACGTCCGAGTTTGACACACTCCGACTCGCTTCAAGAGAAAGAGCGGCTCAAGGTTGAGTTTCTCGCCGATGGGGCCCATCACAAGGTCTACGACGTCAAGCATCCCGAATGGTCGACGCCCCTCGTTATTCGGGTCGCCATCCCGCTCGACCCATCCTTCAAAATGAAGAGCGAGATGGCCACCCTTGCTTTCCTGAGGGAGCGGACCACAATCCCTGTCCCGAGATGCGTGGCCTGGGGCCTCGCTGCCGACACTGAGCTGGGTTACGACTGGTGCCTCATGGAGAAGCTCCCGGGCGTCGAACTGAGACACGTCTGGCGGGAAATACCCTTGGAGAAGAAGCTGGAACTCGTTGATAGGCTCGCCCAAATCCTATCGCAGCTCTGGAAACCCGAGCGCAAGTTCGATCAAATCGGGTCCATCGATTTCCCTGAGCAAGCCACAGCCACCGACCATACAAGCACAACCACCGAGAGAATCACAGTTGGGGATGCGACTACCACCCGCTACACCATCGGCTCGGCTGTGGACACCTGCTACTTTTCAGGCTGGCGCTCCTATCTGCAGCCCGATCGCGGGCCCTTCCCATCATGCCGTGACTGGCTCAATAACATAATCACGGTCGAACGGAAAGTTATCACCACAATTAAGACTCTGCTGGATCACAAGGAAGACATGACAGCTGCGCACCTGGCCATGAATTGGGAACTGGTGGAAAATGAGTTGGTGTTGGAGCAGGCAACAGGGCTGGAAGCAGGAAGACCAAGTCTCCATTCTCAGGCTACTGCTAAAAGCTCGGGAAGCAGCAGGAAAAGAGGCCGACCGCGGGGAGGTGGGTGGATAACCCCACAGAGATGTGGGGTCACGTGACCCACACATCTCACAGTTGGAGATTGATAGCGAGGAGGAGTTTCGCCAAGATTACGACGAGGCAGTTGACACAGTGCAAGGCTACTACAACATGCTCCCCGAGCTCTTCCCTGATGACCCATCGGTGACAGGCCAGCCCCGGTTCTCTCTCCACCACGCAGACTTCCGCGAGGCCAACATCTTTGTCGACCCGGACACTTTCGAGGTGACGGGCATTCTCGATTGGGAAAACGCCATGACCCTGCCCGACTGGTACGCCCCGGCAGACTACCCGCTGTTGTTGCGGGCGGCGGAACCCTTCGATGAGAGGACACCTAACGTCCCCGAGACGTTTGATGAGGACGACGAGCGTTATAACCCTGCAATGGAGTCAAGCTTTGACCGCTGGGAACTGCGTATCCTCCGAAACCGCTACGATGAGGCGCTCGAGAAGCTGAGGTGGGAAGGCTGGAGGCTGACATCAGATGTGGCGACGGCGAAGACATTATTCTTAGAGGGGGCGTATCTGCTTGGTACCGATTTTGACCAAGCAAAGAGACATCTCGTATGGGCTCGGGCGGCCCTGGATGGTGATGAAGAAGAGGAGGGTGAAGAGGGAGAAGACAAGGAGGAGGCGGGGGGCGAGAAGGAGGGAGAGGATAAGGAGGAACAGGATAGGCATGAGGATGGAGATAAGAGGGAGGAAGAAGATAAGAAGGAGGAAGAGGATAGGAAGGAGGTAGAGGACAAGAAGGAGGAACGGGGCAGACATGAGAAAGAGGACAAGAATGAGGATGGGGATAGGAGCGAGAGAGCAAACGAGAGGGAAGAGAATAAGAAGGAGGAGGAGGATAAGGGAGGGAGAAAGCTCTCGTTGTCTGACTGGCATGAACTTCGTAGGATAGGCTAAAGCGGGAGATGCTTCCACTATCACCACTATTGCGATTAAGAGACAGTCAAATTCGAGGCGCCTCCCTCGAAACTCTTTGCATTAATTCGGTACTTAATAAGTAGCTACAAAGGATCCGCAATTCCCCTAAGATTGCCAGCAACTTACATTTTTCTCTTGGCAGATCTGCTTGAACTCAGCTGTGCCACAGCGTCCTCTGCTTCTTCGTGTCGATGCCAATCTCCTTGCCCTTGGCATGTGGCCTTCGCGACTACCTAGGTCAGGTACCTTCGGTAGTATCCTTCGAAGGCTCCGCCATCCTCTTGAGTCTGTTCTTACGGCGACGCCGGTAGCAACACACCCAAATAGATGTCACTACTATCGCCAGACCAATGAGGGGCAGTCCGATAATTTGCAGATAGAGCATTGCCGCGTAATCGAAGCGCTCCTGTCGGGGACCGTCACAAGTGTCGCTGGCGAGAATCAGGTCGAGCGTGGCGCCGGACACCCATGAACTTATTTTGACCATGGCCGGGCGACTGCAGGGGAGCTCTGGTGGAGTTGGGCTCATCGAGGTAATATCTGAGGATTCCCATGCGATGCGCCACGCGTTGTGTACGCGTAGGCCGCTTGAAGGTGCTGATGCGGTAGTGGCTCATGTCCATGTTCGCCTCGGAGGCGCCACCGGCACCAGCTCACACCCACAGAATGCCCCCCGATCACAACCGAGACCAACCCTTTCAAGTGTCAGGTCGCGAGCATGCTGCTACACGTCACCAAGGACGCATCGGGTTATTTCGACAACATGTGGCTCTGGGTAGCTGACCACATGATCGACGATCCTCTGTTGACCGACCCCCTTAACAACATGGACCAGCTCTCGGTATACAGTGCACGAGGCATGCTTATCGAAAGTCGGAAGGCCACCTGGATCTACGGCACGACTTCGGAACACAGTGTCATGTACCAGTACAACTTCAAAGGAGCCCGAAACATCTACACCACCTTCTTGCAGACGGAATCGCCTTACTACTGTCACGGAACGACCCCAGGCGGCCAGGGCGGCCACAGCCGACAGCGCAGGACGCCGGCAGCCAATCGCTTAAGGACCAATAAGAACTGGATTATCACCAGTTGTCAGTGATAATGGACGATTATCACTAGTTGTCAGTGATAATGGACGATTATCACTAACAGAGTGGTGATACTAGATAGTATATAGTCACTCGTACTGGAGAGCTCTGGGAGTTCTCCAGTTAGCAATCACAACTACAGTTCGCTACAAGCTCGAAAGCCTACTGTTGAGACAAGTCTTTGTTGTGCACCCTTTGGCTGCACCGAACCTAAGCACCCTTGAGAGATTACCTTCAACCGAAGCTGAACCCTAACAGGACAGGGTCCTGAAGTAGGTTCGTCACAACTACCAACCGACGCCGAAGCCCCCGACGCCATTCCAGAGCGTCGTTGGGAAGTTTGCCGGGGACCCGGACTACTCTTGCAAGGGCGGCGACGCCGATGGGCGCGACGAATCCTGGGCCGTCATCATGAAGAAGTGCCAAAACATACAGATGGCATCGGCCGGGACCTACTCTTGGTTCTCGACCTACGCCCAGGATTGTATCGACACGCACACCTGTCAAAAGTCCCTCTGGCTCCTTGACAGCAACTACGACAACAACCGGAACATCATTGGCATTGGTGCCAAGAAGATCATCGTGTCGCTGGGGGGGAATGCCATCACGGCAGAGGCCAACCTAGCTGTCACAAGCCACCCGGCGTGGGCGCACATTTCTCAGTACGATGTTCCTTCGGTCGGCGCTGCTCCGGTTGATAATGAGTGCCTGGAGAGCGACCGGATGTACAGCACCGAAGATATGCCGCTGGGCGGGATCGAGGTCTGGTCCTTGGATGGTCAGGTGCTGAACCATGCTGAGGATACCGACGGCACCCAGTACGTGACCATCGTGAATCTCACGCCGTACAAGATGGTACATATCGGAGGCCCTGAGCCGTACCAGTTTGCGGCGTGGGACTTTGGCGACATCCCCTCGGGTAAGGCGAGGAAGAACGTGGCAATATACGACACGTCTCTCGCCGTCGGCAGCTTCGTAGACACCAACGGATACGCCAACTATAAACTCGAGGGCACCGATAAGACATTCCAGGTCCACGTGACGACGCACATCCCAGACAGCTACGAGCGCCGGGTGGTATTTGATCTCGGCGGCATGGGCATGGGCTGGAGAGAACTAGGATTTCCGGGCGAGCGCGTCAGCGTTGCCCTGGTCATCACCGGCAGCGAGCAGTACGGCTACGTCAACTCGCTGCAGCTCAACAACATCGCCTGGATGCGCAGCATGTACGACATCATCAAGGACTGCCAGCTCCGTCACGTGGTCATGCCAGGAGCGCACGACGCCGGCATGAGCAAGATCAGCGACGGTGGCTGGTTCGGGGGGGGGGGGGGGGGG